TGCGTTACTTTCACAACACTTATATCGTGCGGGGCGCATATTTTTTGATGAAAGTAGTTTCAGGCAACTAATTTCACCTCGATTTACATGGCAGAACTACTGTCGCGGCACCATCTGCGCAAAGTTTCGATTTTCACGCATCCATTGTTTCAGAGATACTGCTGATTGCACACCATCACGAATGTGCCTTCACATGTGCCGAAATTATTTTCGCGCAACTATTTTCCTACTAAATGTAATAATCATAAGTACCAATTTTCCCATAGCTAATATGATAAGTATCCAGAGTGACGGCGACCTCGTACGCGTTAACTGCCACGAATACACCGTATGCGATATTGTAGATCACGTCCAACACCTCAATGTAGGGAACCTACAAATTAATCAGATGCCAAGTAGCACTTATATTTCAGGTAGAATTTAAAAAATACTACCCAAACTTCTTATAGGTACAGTTTTAAATTATCATGGTCAATAATATTAGAGTAGGTAGTCATATTTAGCTACGTATATCTTATGAATGAATGAATGAATGATCGCGCGATTTACATATTACCAGAATCAGACACCTATACCATTAACCGTGGTGGTCCAGTAGGTACAGTCAACAAACAGCAGGTCAGATTACACAAATCTGACAAATTTTCTCCACTTGATTGTAAACCTTATTTTTTTGTGTAGCTTTTAAAATCGACTCCGGAGATTTGACATATTGTGACAACCCGACGTGTAGCCGTGTGTAGATATATCGAGTTACAGTAAGCTACAGCTACATTGATGTAGCCCACTGATGTACACCTGCTCAAAAGGCGATACTTCGCCAAATGCCGGCCAATCCGAATTATTGATATCGCGTCATCGGGCAATCCGCCAACATCCACGCACCTGACCCCCGCTAAGTATGAGCGAGACGGATACCTGATGCATCTTATAATAATAATAATAAGTAGTTTATTCGTTGTTTTTACATTTTTACAGTGATTGAGTCTACCCTTTAAAGTATAAATACTTGTATCAGGGGAGACCCGCTCTTATACATTCTACTTAGTAACGAATAAAAATTAAAATTAATACAAGCTTAGTGTGTGCAGTGTTGTCAATCAATACCAATATTGTGTGTGTTTGTATGTGTGTGTTTGTGTGCATATGGGTGTGTGTGTGTGTGTGTTTGCGTGTGTGTGCGTGCATATGTGTGTTTGCGTGTTCGTGTGTGTGTGTGTATGTGATTAATAATCAATTCATGTTTTCTAATATATTCTCTGTATCTTCATATGTGAGTGATTTTAGCCATGATGTTAATTTTCGTTTACATTCTCGGTAAGTCATGGTATATATTTTTATTTGTCTGTTTATTTTATTATAAAGCCTTACTGATTGTATATACAATTGTCTCGATGCGAATGTTGTTCTGGTCTTTCTTTGATGAATGACAGTGAAGGGATTACGTTTAGCACTTTTTGCTGGGTCTTTTGGCGTTTTTTTATGTGTCACCAGAATAGTTTGTAAGATACATAGTTGGCGAACTGTTAAAATGTTTAAATCCTTGTATAGCTGAGTTGTACTATATAGTCTTTTTTTTTTTTATGCATTACTTTCAGAATTGTTCTTTGTGCACGTTCCAGATCAATAAATTTTGTTTTGAAAGTTCCTCCCCAAATAGTTATACAATATAGCATAATAGATTGTACAAGTGTTGTATATATATATTTTAGCAAATCCATATCAAAAATATTACGTAAGTATTTAAAGAGCCAGATTAATTTTCTAGATCTATTACATACAGCGTCTATTTGTTGATACCAGGATAGATTTGAATCAATGATAATTCCTAAATATTTTGTGCTGTCTACTTTCTCAATTTTAGGGCAGTTACAGTTGCTATTATCAAAGGCATTTTTACACGTATGTGGAGTAAGTGTTAGATTCGAATCCGGTTGAGTTGATTTATTTATAGTGAAAGTAATGTAATTTGTTTTATTTGCATTTAAGGTAAGGATATTTATACGTAACCAATTCATAACCTTTTGCAAACCTTCTTCCGCCTTTGCAAAGGTATCCCGCCATGTAGAACCACAAAAAAGTAATACTGTGTCATCTGCGTAAGAGAATATGCGTCCGTTGTCTAATTTCATGTCAGTTAGGTCATTTATATAGACTAAAAAATCTTAAAGTTTTGGAATCAAGAGTCACTTTAAAATTTAAACATATATTCGGTCATCGTCGGTATTGGTAGTCTGCCCTGCGTAAACAAATATTCACCGTACGTCATTAATTAGGTATAGATAATCTGTAGACGCTCACTCATCGGTGAATAAGTACACGATATAACCTTTTTTCTCTCTTTCATCTAATAATCAATATTCCCCGGCTACGATGCCCAAGTAACTCACATAAATCCTTTTTGGTAAAAAAGCTTTAAAGACAAATATAATACTTCATTAAAGGGATAGTGAAAAGTACCTTAATTTCTATAACGACCCAGATTATAGCAGCAAGGGCAATCGCACAAATGAACCAATTCCAAAGGGTATCCTTCGGCAGCGACTGGATGCCACGTAACAGCCCTTCCCAACTCCACCAATACGGATATTTCAACTGAAAACACCTCATTGACAGACTTATCACTTCTCAATATTTGCTTATACGTTATTTTTATTTGAAAATAATAATTACTGAAGTCACATAAGATGTTCATGACTAATTAGTTCACAATCACTAATTCGTAAATTATTCAGATAGTTGGTTCACAGAACTAATAAACTGTGATTGAATTATGAGGCGTAGTGAACATCAGGTACGATACCGTTGATGATAGAACAAATAAAGGTCATTAGTTCCAACTGTAGAAATTTTCAAATATCTGCATTTATTCAATATTTTATGCCAAAAGTCACAAAGTTCGTTTTAGTCGAAAGGAAATTACCTACAAAAATATTTATTTTTTTCTCCGTATTTGGAAGGCAGCTACTCTTCCACCCTCACTAGGACGAGAGGCCAGGAATTTAGAGAGGCTTTATATTGTAGAGTAATTACAGAAATAAATTTAACATTGTCATAACTAATTTATTTGGGATTCATTATTTATTGTATTGGTTTCATTTACCTCTTGCTGATTGCGAAAATGTGACTCTGCATCCCTGGAACTACTCATTGCTCTCAAAATAGACACAAAGTCCAAGTACAAAACGAATTATAAAATTCCAATCAGATATAAAGAATATGCATGCAAAAGATAAAACCATAGAGTAAGTAATAAATGGTAATAAACTTGTATTGTTGATCAAAGAATAAACTACTGTTTTTTCTTGTACTTTACTCTTTGCTTCTCTTTATGAAAGACGTTGGTAAAAAAGTCTTAGGATATGTTCCGATATACACTGCGATCACTGAACAGTATGACGTCAATTTAGTATACTGGAAGCCCGTTCCTTTATAGCTAGTTATACTGGTGACTTTTTAAAACGGAACGCAGTCCAGTATACTATTAATCCTATTTTTGGCGCCATTTTCAAATTTGTTAATGCAAGGTGAATATAAAGATTCCCTCTTTTCAAAAGAAAATATGATAAAATTGGAAAATTGTATAAAAAAATTATTTATCAATTAAATCCATCTTATAATAAACGGTTTTTTTTTTGTTTATTTAGATACTTATCTTTTTCTGATTCTATTTCGACTGATCACGTGATCAAAAGCACTGCGAGCACCTTACCTCAAAATCTCCAGTGCTCACAGTACAAATATGGCGGCAATTTATGACGTCATAAATTTCCCTAGGGTACTGTAGCAGTGTACGGCAGTCCATAACGGAACGGATTTTTCAGCAGTAAGACCACTGCGCAGTGCTCGCAGTGTATATCGGAACATACCCTTTAACACACTCCGTTATATTTTCTCTATGATGAAGATGTTAAGTTATCTTTGGCATTTTATATAATTGGCTATCATTTGGGCAAGAATGGTAAAAGTAAAGATATCCATTTCTGAATTTGTGTCATAGTCTTATAAAGAAATTTGAGAATGGTTTTTTATTTGTATTTGCAAAAGTGTTAAATTCATTGGATTATTATATAATTTTGCATTTTTTATAACTTTTGATAAAGTACTCGTACATGTAGCAAGTGGTATATAAGCATCTTGGGTGTTGGTTGTTTCTATACAACGGCATTTTTTGGAAATCTTAGATTTAATATTTTAATTTGATTAAAATCAAAGAGATTTTACATACTCAGTAGAAACAATCATTATAATGTAATTAATATTTTTATTAAAAACCTGTTTGATAATTCACATTAAACTTAAAACTAAACCATATCCTTAACTTTCATTAAATCATTGACTAATTTTTAAAAATAACAATATTATTTTGCATTCTATTTTCTTCTCTTTACTCCACTTGCAAGTTCTGTAGTTCCATCGTCTATATTTTTAATCACAGCTCATTTGAACTTTCCAATATTCCAAAATGAAATTCCTTCTTAATTTAAAATTTTTGAATAGTATATAAATCCACATACGGTTCATGGATACGATTGGATTATTGCGGAGTATATTAAAAATGTATATTATAATTTCAGTATTCCAATTTTGTACTAAACCATATTCATCTATTTATTTTCTTGACAGTCCATTTGCTATTGGTGAATGGGTTAATGCGGTCTTATGGTTAATTATGGCAACCAATCACACAGTTTCAAAATATCTTAAATTTTTTCGTTACATATTGCTTTACTATGAATACTCAGTACACGAACACAGCTCTGTGACAATATCAAATAAAACCTTTTTTACCTTTCAATTATGTAAAGCACACATAGCTAGAACAGTTTCGGAACCAATTATTTTTTTATTGTTTCGATTTTAAACATTTTCGTTCATTTATTTATTTGTACCCAAATAGTATTCACCCTTTAAAAGCACTTAATAAACTCCATTCTCTTCTCTAAAAGTCCCCTTGATATTTGAGATTCAAATAGATTTTGTACTATTTTCGAATTAGGTTAACTAGATTTAACTTTATTATTCCTCATGTATTCTTTACGGAATTCCACATTCAGCTGATGACCGATCCTCATTCTGAGCCATTCCGGAGCAATTTTAATAAAGAAATACTGAAAAAAAAAAGATATGATAACATTAGAAAAGAAACTTGAAACAAAAAGAGAGAAGCTAATTTAAAAGTATAAATAACGAAAATAGTGACTGACAAATATATAATAAGTATCTAACGTGTATTATCGGCATTGGTTGGTAATGATATCGATTATAGAACTATTTAAAAACACTATTAACTATAAATTCTAATAGTTTCTTAATAGTATAGGCCATCAGGTACCTGAATCCCATGTAGCCAGTAGCCGGTGGTGTTAGAGACGCGGCCTAGCGAGGCGACAGCGTGGCGCGAGAAGGTGGCCACGTCCGGCACCAGCAGGTTGCCGTCCATCAGACGCTGCGAGAACGAGTTGATCTTGGTGGACACGAACAGCGGCGCTAGATGCTGCACGTGGATGCCCAGCGGACTGTACTCAGCGCGGAGAGCGTATGTGAAACTGCGCACATATGCCTGCGGCCAAACCAATACCGTAACATTATAGAAACGGTCATTCTTTGCAGTTGTATAGGATAAAATAAAAGTAAAGCTTGTGCAAAATTTATTCGGACCGTGGCATAACATGGTCTAACCAAGGCGTGGGTGGAGTCCCATTCCATCATTGAGACCGCTTTTTTCAGTATCTCTTTCCAATATCTATCCAGTATTTCTAGATTTTGCATTCACATTGTTATATTGAAAAATATGTTTGAAGAAAATACGATCGTTAGTAGCGTAACTCGTTGAGAAAATCATCAGCCCTGTTACGGCTAGAGCAATGTTTAGAGCAGTCGCCCGGAGGAACCATCTCGGGGTATTGACGGATTGATCAATTTTAAAGCTTTTTTTATTAAAGAGATCTAAATTGATTTGTATATGTTAAACAGTTGAAAAGAAAACCGGTCTTATGACAAACTCATTCATGGATAGCCGAAGAATTTGATGGTAGCATTCTTTGGAGGTCCTTGCAAGATGTCTCTCTTTCCCTTTCAGTGCGAACCTATGGGATTGTGTCAAGTGTGAGCAGTCGTGTCACTACGCCTCACCTTTGTAGCCGCGTATATTGTCATAAGCGGCAGCGGTTGCAGCTCGGAGCCAGAGGACACGTTGACGAGAGCCCCACGTCCGCGCGCCACCATGCCAGGCAACACCAGTCTACTCATAGCGGTCACCGCCCCTACATTCACGTTGATAATTTCCCAAGTTTTCGTGTCCGAAACTTCGCATACGGGCATCGGATAGTCGTAATTCAAGCCTACGTTGTTTACTGGAAAAAGAAGCGAATGATTTCAATGTTTAAAATATCTTCAGCAATCAAAAAGAATATAATATTGCAGAGTGATGGATTAAAATGTTCATTGTCGATTTTCAAACCGAAAGACAAAAAAAACAGAAAGATTATTCTATTTTCTATTCCATAAATAGGTAAAAATGAAACATAGGCTTACCCAATACTCCTAGAGGAATGTCTTTTAGTTCCTCTTCTATATGCGAGTATATCTGAGAGCCCCCACTGAAGTCTGCCACAATTATCTTGGTCTTAACACTGTGCAACTTCCCTGTAAATACAATTTAAGAACACTGGTTAATATAATATTTATAGCAATTAATTTTTACAGATAATAAATAGAAATCCTTAAAGACAAAACTGAATACATTTTAAAATGACAACTTGAGAAGAATAATTGCACATTTTGGCAATTGATTTGAGTGCGTGGGTGGTATATGTTATAAACAGTCTGAGTTGATTTGATGTCGACTGAAGTAGGTTAACTAATAATGTTTACCAAAATTTGTGAATCATTATGTGATCCAAGTTGCAATCATTTTGTAATGGGATCTAATTACTTAAATGAACACAAGTACCTATTTCTAGAGCTGTTAGTGACAAGAATCCACAATTTTAGTAAACCAGCTTAGTGTATCGTGGCATTAAATTAATTTGCAGACATTTATAAGCAGGTGGAGCTCGATAGCTGGATAGTGGTTAGCGCGCTCTGTCTGCGATACGGATGTTAGGCAGCTTTCTCAATCGCTGGTCATAGGATGAGTGACCAAAAATCTCGGACTCCTTCGAGCTTCGTATGGTACGTTAAGCCGTTGGTCCCGGATGCATCTGCAGTCGTTAATACCCACCAATACGCTCTGAGCCGGCGTGGTGGGTCATGGCCCACTCTCACTATTCGATTCCATCCATAGGAAAGGCTGGACCCCCAGCAATGGGCACATTAATAGACTGATAATGATGATTTATAAGTATAGCATATGGCATATCGTAGTCATATCGTATATTAGAAATCGAAAGTTAATTAATCAGCTTTACTTGACGTAATCTCACAATTTTTATACGGACCTTATTAGCGGAGTTGTAATAAATACCTACACATAGGATGTCATTGTATTTATTTCGTTCATTAACACACGTCTGATGAATTACAATCAAACATAATCTCAAGCAATGACACACATAATCTATCGCGAAGTCATTTATAGGATAATACCAAGTAATACGTATTTAGATTTATTTTAGCATTTGTGAACAAACACGTTCTACACGTTGTAGTCTGGATATTTTTTTGAAAGGCAAATTAATTTGTTAGTATGATATAATATAGAGCATAAAACACTCTTTTAAGTAGCATTCGGGTGGGTGCGAATGTAGAGTCCCACACACCCTCCTGCCATCTGTCAAGCGGCAGGAACAGATACAGTATGTTAAGCATTCTCCATACGACGCAAAAAAAAACTCACCTATCTCTTCAGCGGTAGCCCTCAACTTGTCAGGGTTACGGCTGATGAGGACTACGTTGAAACCTCGTCGCGCCAGCTCCAGCGCGTAATGTTTCCCGATACCGTCTGTACTGCCAGTTACCGCTGGAACCAAACACATAACAGATCGTTATATTATACAGTCTTTAAACTAAGAGCTCCACTTGAACATGATTTTTCTCTTCTATTTCGAAAGAAATCAACCAAGATTGATTTATAAAATGCTATTTCCAAGAATCTCAAACTCAAACTGTAAAATAGATACGAAGGTACATTAGATAAAGACACTCATAAGATTAGTATTATTTTTCACGATTAGAAGTCAGTTTTTTTTTTTTCAAATAATATTATAATAATATGTTTGATATTTTATGATAAAATCTTTTGCCTGATTTGAACTTTTTATAAAGACACCGGATATTTTTTGTGACAAATATTATAATACTGGTTTTTTCACAACTCGTCGTGTCCAAACATGACTATTCATATTTGAAAGGCAAATAAGAGGAAAATATAAAAAAAAAATTAGCATACATTAACTGTAATGTCAAAGACTTATAAAGTATTTGTGTAATACCGATTAAAATTCTGTGAACCTTCTGATTTTTCACATATTTGAAGTCGGTTTATTTTTCAGGTAGTTTTAGTATAGTAATAAATAATATACAAATTTAATATTGTAACTTAAACCCCTTTAAAATCATACGGAATCTTTTGATATCTTCGTAGACATAAATTTGCTGTTATTTCATGCTAGATCTATAAATTATTAAAAAGGAAAGATTTGTTTGTTTGTTTATAACATGTCTATATATTCTTTACTCCTCAGTTGGTTAGTGTGTTTGATTTAAAAACTTCAGTTGCGGAAATCTACATCATATGCAGGTGACATCTAATACAATACATCGTTTAGATTAGAACAAAGTCTGTGCTCTAAGATCTTTAAAACTACATACACAACAAACAGTTATTATACAGTCTTTAAACTAAGAAAAAAAATGAGGTCCACTTGAACATGATTTTCTCTTCTATTTCGAAAGAAATTTTGAATGGATTTTAAGGTGGCTTTTATAATCAATGTACAGATTGATTCAAATGTCTAATACGAAACCACGCGGGCGAAGTCGGTAGCGAAATATATACCAGGAAGCTATAATTTACGCAGGCGAAGTTTCGGGAAAACAGCTAGCTTAGTTATATAAACAAAACTGATATTTTTTACGGGACCATCTCGAGCCTATCCCTCTTTCATATATCAATTTTTAGAATTGTTAAAAATTCGTCTAATAATAGGTGAATATAAATAAAAAAAAAATTATACCCATTGAACATAGAACCTACTCGTTCTCGATTTTTAAGTCGGTTAAAACTAATCGATGAATTACAGTACCTGGTGCTTACATCAACAAAATCATCAGGCGTGACTCCATATCAGCGAATAACGTGTAATAACCACATTAAAAACCCCAAAACTATTATTTATTAATAGACACACTTATCAGATCCGCCGGGATATTTTGTAATATTTTACAAACCTTGGCCATTCTCCGGCATTGAATATTTAAATTGAGACCATCCAAAAATACAAATTGTTTATTCGGTATCCATATATATTTAAATTATTAAGAAGTAAGGTTTGATTATTTGTTTGTTTGCATTGATTAGAATGCGAAACTACTGGAGCAATTTTAAAAATTCAACGGCAGCCACATGGTGACGTATTAACAAAAACAGATGTCATGTTATTAATGCTATTCATATATCTTTCGGTCAAAAAAAGATTGGTATTACCAAAGTTTTGAATTTTTATTTATTATTAACCTGTTACTAAACCGGTCAACACAAATATATAATGGAAATAAAAAACAGTCAGCTATAAGAAAAAAACACATCAAACTTGATATTTTTTTTTATATTCGAGCTCATCAAATGACTCCACGAATGCGAAAATTAATGGCTACAAAATATAAATCATGATTTAAAATTTAAATCTAACTTTACAAAATCAGATAACAATTCTTAATAACTAAATAGGCTATTAATTAATTCAAGAAACTTCTTACAACGTTGCTCGTTATATGAGGTTTCACTGACTATGGTTTTATATAAAAATGAAATAAATATGGGACTATTGGCGATGCAGAAACAATTTTTATATATTTCTGAAATTTACGAAGATATATATTTTAATTTATTGATAGCTTCTTTCTTATGAAATCGGCTAAAATCCTTACATAAAATAATTAAAAAATGACATCGCAATAGCGACTCGATAGGGGTGAAGGTGACTTTTAATTAGAATGATAGTTTTTTATGGAATTGCTACCATGTAACTTGTTGTCATTGAGCTTTTTTGAGGTTTCTTTTTAATATTTTTATTTTATAGATATTTTGTCATTATAATATATACTATAATACCTTATATTATTAATTTTATATCTTCTTCATAAATCGCTGCTGACACTCTTTTTCTGTTCTGTGTGATATGTTTAATATTTTGTGATCTAATACTGAAGGTAACACAACAAGAACTGTATCAAAAATACTTGTTACTGGTGCTCCATAGACTCGCTTAGCGGAATTGGGGTATGACACTTTAAAATGTAAACATATTATAGCAATTATCATGCCAGATAAATGGACATCAGACCATTATGTTATTATCGAATTTAAAAATGTCCGAAGCAAATAAGTTGTTCACATTAAATGCAGGTTGCGTTATCAACTAATTAGATAGACAATTTTATATAATTTATAAAATTGTATATCTAATGAGATAGTTGGAAGTCGGTCGAGGTAACCGTATAATATCCTATTTAAAAAATGCCTGTGCCGCAACCGCAGGCCTTTACCGTGAGACGATTTAGATTGATGTGATCTTGTGTGGTATGTGTTAAAAATAGTTATTATAAAACCAGCGGTTTAATGTTTACCAGTCTCGTTAAGCTTTAACTATATAAATGGAGCTTTCAGAAACTATATATAACTTTAAGCAAAAGCTTACGAATAGGAATTGTATACGCAAGAGCACATGTTGTCTGACGTAGGTATATAACAATTGAAATATATCCTAATCGGTCTGCTTATGTTAGCTTTTGATTTTTTAACAAGTGTGGATCTTCTTACACAGTTAGTTGGACCCTGATAAGCAATAACGTTTCAACCCCCACAGACAAAATTTTGAGAAAATCCCATCTAATAATACATCATTAGACGCCATTTTCTCAAAATGTTATTTGTGTGGATTATCATCATCAGTGTGTAGTTATGATTAGAAAAACTACGTGATTGAATGAATGAAGCACATTACCGGAAAAACGTATTTTAAAACTTTCAAGAACAAATATGTGATATTGTTAGTTTATATCCACAACATGACCTCTGCTTACCGGTTCATTGTTTAGTTATGTGACAACAAATAAGACACTTAGATGTTATGTTGCGCCTGTCTATATGACTCATAACACGATAATCTTCACAATAGGCTAGTTGACAATTTTTTTTTATTTATAAATAAATAGTTCATTAATATCTAAGAAATAATGTAGACGTAACAAAATGGTTCATATATTCCGAACATATAAACAGAAATCTGTATTTAAAAATATCATTAAAATAACTGTAGGTACAATGTTAACAATTGTACTATGGAGGTAGGCAGACATGGGAGCACAGCGCGGCTCATGGTAGTGAAATCCTATTAATATTATAAATGTGAAAGTTTCTTTGTTTGGATGTTTGTACGTCAATCACGCCGAAACTACTCAACGGATTTTGATGAAATTTGGTATACAGATAGGGTGTTAGCTGACTTAGATAATAGAATACTTTTTATACCACTAAACATTTCCCTAGAGTCCACGCGGGCGAAGCCGCTGGCGAAAGCTAGTAGTATATAAGTGACATCTCACGAAAAAATACATTCAATTTTTAAGTGATTTTGAAAATTTCTAAGTTTGTGTTAAATTACCCTGAAATCGGTTGAGTGTTCTAATTCCTTAATTTTTACTGCTCGCTTACAAGTTTGCTCGCTTACCTTGAAGTATTTTATTTTTAAAATCTCAAGTCCAATAAGTAACATTAAATTCTAAATCTATTATTTTATTAAATTCGAGTCTTCGTGAATCTTCAGTGCTGCTGACCAAAGCTGACGACGGGTCTACACTCTTGCCAGCCTCTGTCCGGCCCGTAACGCTGACCCCGCGAACTCATCACTAAATCCCCTTACTATACTTAAAGCTAAGTCCTCCCCTCATAATTCAAGAGACAAGAACCATAGCGAGCGAATACCTATACTTACTCCCTGAGGGATAAAATAAAGTCTATTAAAACATTGTTTTGTTTCTTTTGCTCTTTTTACCTGAAGCCTAGGGGGTGCTTCGCAACCCCATCTACAAACCCAACGCTTCAATAATACTAAGTATACTGGAATATATTTTCTTACGCCAACCATTTGTAAAAAAATACTTAGTTAAGTGACACTTAGTACTAACAAAATCCTAGTAAATATTAGTAATAAAACAAAACGAGTTTTATTAATATCAGACCTACTTTGAAGACGTCGAGTACAAGAGGCAAAAAATCGTAAATCAACATCAATTATTTTTGCTCTAAATTCATGTGGATATCTGACTCTTTTTTAGTAAACTCAAATTTGTAAATAAAAGAGTTATTAAATAATAATTAGAGAGCCCGAAAGAGGACAAAAAATTTAACGTGGTCTAGAACAACAAGTGGTTTTCGAAAAAAATAACAGCCGACCAGTTGGCTCTGAAGAACAGACTTAAATCATTGTAGCTTAAGCTTAAAATCTATTGTCAGTTTTAAATCAATATATACTTATCAAATGTGTAAATTTTGAAGAAATTTGTTTTAAAATCTAAACTACAAATGAAAAGATAAAAAATAATATTCATATGTCGACATGTAATAGTGGGTAATCCATTTCATGAGCTTAAGGCTGAGACCGCACGGCTAAAAATATATAGCTATTTGTAAAATGTATCTTTTCTATATAAGCGCACATCTTAGCTGACTAAAAACGAGAGCCGCGGTTTGGCATTTATGTTACAGAATTACAGCTGTACCTAAACCGCGGGTTTCAA